AAAAAAATCAATAGGTATCAGGAAACCATTAGATCTTGTGGCCCTTGCTATATCTTGCATGAGTAATCACTGTAAACAGCTGACAGGTATTTCATTGTTGACACAGAGTGATGCTTGGGGGACCACATCTTGTCAGGGTAGGTGGACAGCTTTAGACAGTGGAATGAGTTCAGTTATCCTTGTTTTCCCCTTATGCTCATTCTTTTAGRCAGCACTGTCACTAACTGGGTCTGTGATGCTTTGAAAAATCAAATACTTTCCTTGCTGTCAGTTTCCTTTTTCTTGTGTTGTGGCATAGTTATAATCAGGGTGTGTGGTTTGGTACTGAACTGGTTTCTGTCAAAAACAAGTTTTAATTTCTTACTCAGAAATAATTTTTCCTGAAACCCAAGTTTTGTGCTAGTGCTAAATAAGTAGTGTGARGATTAATTAATAATACCAGAGAGTTTATAATTTTACTTCTTGTTCTTTTTCTCCTATAAAAATTACAATGTAATTTTTTTGACAAGTGATTTTGAATTATTTACATCTCATTTACTTTTTCCTTAGAGAGATGATTCATTATTTGTGAGACATATAATTTTCATATTCAGGAGATGAGAAAATAAAAATAAGCCCTATGTGCACATAGCCATAGTGTTGAAGTTGTTTAGTAATATCTGCTCATAACTTTTTTTGGCATAGGTAGAAACTTACTGTTTGATTTGTGTGTAGTAAAAGTTGGTCTTTTTTTTTTTTTTGATGAAATGGGGGAGATTATATAAATGAATAGAAGTAGTAAAATTAATTCCCAAAGAAAATGAGAAACCCAGATTTAATTTGATGTGTGTTTTTCTGCTAATTTCATTGTGGCAAATTAAAATGTATATAAAATCATGTTTTGTGCTTCAAAAAATTTTTTTATTTGATGAATATTATATATTTTTCAGGTGCTGTGGCTTCTATGTTTTGGGTTGATGCTGAATTAGGGAGTGATATTTATCTTGATGGTAAGTTAAAAAACAGTTTTCTTTACTGTTAAGTTTATTGTTTATTTATAATTTAATCCATTGCATTATCATTCTTTTCAAACTGCTTGGTTTAT